TCCACCAGAGTGTATACAAATGTGACTTCCTAAATCTTCAAATTCAGCAACCTCTTCAACTGGCACAAGATGCTATAGATGCCTTTCTTAAGCAACTGAAAAATCCCATTGATTGTCTACCTGGAGAACTGTTCCATGTTGTCGTTTTCTCGCTCCTCCTTTCTTACTTTCCATCACCCTATCAACGATGGATATGCTGCAAGAAGGCACATGAACTCCTCGTATTAAATGGCTTACTGCTTGTAATAACTCCTGATTCATCTCATCAGAATCGCCGGGCTATGATGATGAAAAGCTGGAAAATTGCCATAGAATCCTTGGGTTTTAAACGCTTCAAGTATTCCAAATTTTCTCACATGCACCTGATGGCATTTAGGAAAACTTCCCTGCAAACAACAAGTGACTTAGTTAGCAGGAACTACCCAGGAATGCTGTATATCCCACAGGATTTCAACAGTATAGAGGATGAGGAGTATTCCAACACTGCCTGCTATGTTCGGTCAGACACAGAAGATGAACAGCTAGCTTACGGTTTTATGGAGCTACCTGATGCTCCCTATGATTCAGACTCTGGAGAAAGCCAGTCTAGTTCCATTCCTTTCTATGAGCTAGAAGATCCTATATTGCTTCTAAGTTAATGTAGTCGTTGAAATGCCCTTTCAGTCAAACCTCTTGCTTAACTAATTTTGCTATACTAACATGGGCTCAACACAGAAAAATGGTTTGCATAAAGAAAATGCAAAGGTTTACAGAGTTTGCTATTTTTTTCTACTTTTGAATTTTAAAATTTATTCTTGTATGAAAGTGAAAAAATACAAGTTTTATGCAAATGACTCATGTCATAGCATAAATTGCTGTTACTTTCTTTAGATTTGTATCGCTATTTTTTTTCCAGAAAGGTACCATTCTTTTCTTTAGTGCTGTGAAGTGTGAGTTCTATTTAATTTGTTAAATGTTGTTTCAGTATTTTAAGTCAATGTGGTTGAGCTTAAGGCACTGGAGTTGGTGGGCTTCTGAGAAGTAAATGTAGGAAGAAATAATTTGCACTTTAATTAAATGTGCAGATAGGTTAAGACACTTGGTTACAAATGTCCCTTCTTAATTATGGAACAAAACTTTTTTCTTCCAAAATTTGTTTCACTCTGGTTAAGCCTGGGCTGGAGAAACAGTAATGCTTGCACATTTGATTTTATGGTTATTGCAGCCCTCTTGACGTAACACCAAAACACTGGAATATATTCATCCACAGTTATACATACTGTGTAATTTCATTGTATAAATAGCAGTTTCTGATGAGGCTTTTCCCCCAGAGGAGTATGGTACGTCTAGACAATTATGTTTCACTTCAAAGCTGGAATATGTTTTGCAGTTTTATGAGTATACAAGCACTAATATATATCAGTATTTCCGCAACTACAGTGTTCTGTATTCTCTTCCAGCTGTGTTTTTTGGGGGACAGGATGAGTTTTGTCATGTTTTATAGTAAATTATTTATGCATTTTTAAAAGAAACAACTTTTTTTTGAATTGTCCTTATTTGTAGACCTTCAAAGTTAGCCAGTGACTACAAACTGATTTTGTAAGAAGGAACATAACTGTACAAGTTTTTCAAGGATACACATATTTGCATAAAGCCATGAATTCAGACCACACAAGTGAAGTTAACACATGCTTTTTGTTTGCTTATTAGGACCCAAAAATCTCCTGTTCAGTTAAATAAAAACTGACTGAAAACTGGTCTGCGCTGTAAGGAGATGAAACATCTGTTTTTACATCTATAAATTTTTAATTTGTGTAATGAATCTGTGAGTTTTTGCAGGAAAAATCAATTGTGTTCAGTGGTTAGAAAAAGAGGATTCATTATTGGTTTAGCTTAGATTTTCCTCCATTTAAAAATAATGGCCAGAATTTTCTAATTTGGATATTAGGCTCATAAATCTATATGTAGGTGCCTAAGTAGTAAATGATTTGAACTAGGTGCCAGATCATGATTTATTTCTGACTGCTGAAAATTGGTAAAACAATACTAATACATTTTCACAGGTGATTGTGATGAAGTATCTTACATCATAATAAACTGCCACATGGTATTTATATGAAAGTTGCTAGATAAATTGAAGTGTAGTGTGGATTTTACAGTGGTTGCTACAAAAATGAAACTTACTCCTTCCATTTAAGTTTTGCACTGAATGTGTCACAGTTTGACCTACCTGTTTTTCTTTTATAGTATTTCTTACATAGAGTAATCACATTGGTCCAGCTTATGCTTAAATGTGATCTGGACTGTGGTGCTGTATTCTTTAACATAAGCTTTTTGTATCTCTTTTTGAATTTAAAGCATTCCCAAATACCTAATTCAGATTCGTTATTCAGTCTGAATGATTGAGTTATACAAACCAAACAATTATATTTGATGTGTACAAAAGAAAAGAATTAAGGTTAGACATACAAGAGTCATGGCTCACTTGATAATTTTTGTTACAGAGAATACTTCTCTAATGAAATACACAATGGCTTCAAAATTGGCTTTAAGACACTATTTTCATTAAAATGTTTATCATTGAAAGCCTTTTTTCCCAATTAACCACTGATTCCAGCAGTGCTCATGTTAAAATATTGCTGCTGTAAATTCAGCTGTTTATGGGAGGTTATTATGTGCATTCTTCAAAGTATACCTAATAACCGATTAACTGATACTCGATTTAAAAACTAGTACACCATCAGGCATATGTGTTTGCATTGATTACTGTAAATTGGTTTGCAATTCATACACAAAGAAGTGCAATTCAGATGAAGACTTATCCCCCAAAATAGCTTACATATTAAGATTCAAAGTTAAATTCTTTTTGGGAGGTTGGTGACAACACTGTGGTTTAGGGACCTGAGATTCATAACAGCTTGGTTTTGTCGCTGATCATTCTAAATGCCCAAAGTGGGTTTATTGGTTATTTGGTTTTGTGGGTTTGTTTTTGGTTTGGTTTTTTTTTCTTTTTTTTTGGTTTGGTTTGTATTTTTTTTTTCACAAGGGACAGGAGATTGTGGTGGAGGAGGAAAGTGATTTACATAAATACTTTCATCTCCCTTAATAATAAAGTGGTGATATCAGGAGTTGTATATTTGACTTTGGTGCAAGAATATTATTTCTAGGTTATGAAATATTCAAAAATTATGACTGTGCAAGACATTTTTCACTCTTAAGGTGCTGGAGAAGAAAAGGAAGAAAACATGTATTGGCATCTCTGTTGTCTTTTATGTCACTACTTTTGTGAACAAAGCACATTTATTAAAAAAAATCTGAAAAAACAAAAACATTCTAAAAAATTCTTTGGGGTCGAGCTATTGTCTTTTTTCTTTCTGTGCCATCTGTTAATGCTGAAATCCAGTGAAATCAATGCAAAGCTATTTATTTTCAAGAAGATAGTTGTCTTGAGTTTATTTTATAACCCATAACAATGTTAAATTTGGTACTTCATTTTCAGCTTCTTCATCTCAGTTGTGGTCTCTGCTTTCTGGAAGGGTTTTTTAAGTTATTCCAGTTGATTCTATTACCATGTTGCTTTGCCTGCCCACTTAGATGTGACCACTTTCTAATCTACTTCCTCTCACCTATCTCTACATGTTCTTAATTTCTTCTCTGTCTCACTGAAATACTTTTAGAGCATCCATTGTATGCTTGTCCTTTGATATCATTATTGTATTTTTCTACATTATGATTCTGGAGGTGTTGGGGGAAGGATGGCACTGGGAAAAGAAATCCAAAGAACTGATAACTGAAGGCTCCTGCTCAGATCCAAGTTCTAGGAAAACTGGATTTCAGCAGAATTGAAGTGTGTCCCTAACACTGCACAGCCTACCTGGTATATTCTGGTCTCTTAAGTGAGAGTGAAGATGACTAAATAGCATTTCACAGCTGTGCTTAGTGTTGCATATCCTTTCTGCCTCATTCTGCTTCAGGAAGTTTGCCTGACTTGCTTTATAAGCATCATCATTCTAAGGCTTTTTAATCACATCTCCATGAATCAGCAGCAGGTTTTCTGCTCATTTTTTCCTCTTCTTTCCCTCAATTGTTTTTGACCTAGAACAGCAAGGTGGCTTTCTAGCAAGGTTTCATTTCACAAACTTGCACAGAAACTTAGTAGGGTCATTTTACTCTCTATGTAAAACACTGACAAAGAAGTTTCCATAGTTGCTTCCAATTGCGATCGTGGTTGGATCAATACAGTACCAATTAAATGTTGTCCGTAATGCTGGGAGAGCGTCTGCAGCATGTGTCCCTCACTAGGCAACTGGGATTGTACTATAGTGCTCGTTAAAGAAAAACCTCTTAGCTTGGGGCTTATTTTGTTGAGTTTTTGTTTGTTTATTTGGGGGGTTCATTGGGATTGTTTGTTGTTGGTTTTAACCCCTGTAACTTTTAGGCCTTTGGGTCAGTTTTAGCTAATATTTAAAGAACTGTAATAATTTGGGGGATGACTGAGGTTCTTTTGAGTCGGTTGTCTGAATAATTTAGTCAGGAAAGAGAGAGGAGCAAGCTTAGATGTTTAGGCTGCCCTAGTGCGTCTTGCTAAGGGGCAGAAGGTGCTGGTTGTGGTGAAGGATTTACAGGAATAAAGGATTCGTCTCTGCAGCAGCCCAGCCCACCTACCGTTCAAAGAGCCCCTGAGCAGCGCTGTCATTCAGATTCCTCTTGTTTTGCCTCTCTCCTCGGCCAGGGCACGGAGTTACTGTGATCCAGAACCTTCCCGCTATTTGCTCACCTGCCTGCGAGTTTCCAACACCGAGTGCGGAGAAACGCACTGCGAGGCCGCGGAGGCGCACGAGTTACGCCGGACCACAGGATGGGATGGGCTCAGTCTGCCTTGCAGTTCTGATTTAAACACAGTTTTCTCGCTCCCATGCCTAAGCGCCAGTTGACGCTGTTTGTGGGTTTGGTTAGGACTATTGGTTTCCTCAGAACTCTATCCGGCCGCGCCCTGGCGCTGTTTGAGCCTCGGCGCGCCCCGTAGCGGGAAGGGCCGCGCTCGGCCTCGACATGGCGGCGGCCGGCGCGGGGGGCGGGAAGGTTCCGGGCTGCCTGTTGAGGTGAGAGCGGGCCGGGCGGGGTGGAGGTGCCGCGGGATCGTCACCGAGGGCGGCCGGGTGGACACCGCCGTGGGAAGTGGGGTCCGCCAGCATCGATCGGCGGCGCGGGG